ACAATCGCATTGTCCCGTCCTTCTTCTTTACAAAGATGACTGGTGCTCCTCAAGGAGACACACTCGGTCTAATGAAATCTTTCGCTGAAAGATCCTCAATATGCTTCTTCAGCTCTGCCAGCTCCGGTGGCGACATCCGGTATGGAGCTAATTAAATAGCCCCCACACCAGGCAACAGATCAATGGAGAACTCTATCTCCCTCTGTGGAGGAAACTCAGGAATCTCCTCAGGAAACACCTCGAGGAATTCCCTCACCACAGGAATGCCAGTGATATCCTCCTGTGTCGCACTCACCAAACCTCCCAACATGACATATCCATATGCCCCTGCTCTCAAGGCTCTCCTAGCCTGCAGCAACGAAATGTACGACGAGGAACTAGCTGTGGAATCACACTGAGACATCACCACATGCTTGGCACAACAGTCAATCAATGCACAATTTCTGGACAGCCAATCCATGCCCAGAATAACCTCCAAGTTGGCCATCGACAATCCTATCAGATTTACCGAGAACTCACGGCCATCCCACTGAAACGCTACATCACGATGAACAGTGGTCGCATCACACTTTTCTCCGGTGGCGGTGGTAACCCGCAACGGTGCAGAAAGAACATCAATAGGCAACTCAAGCCCCACAGCAATCGGGGTTGCAACAAAAGAATGCGTAGCCCCAGAGTCAAACAAGACATCCACAGGTGAACCACCAATGGTAACAGTACCTCTAACAAGGTTCAGAGCTCGATCCGACTGCTGACGATCCAAAGTATAAACTCTCCCAGAAGATGGTGGCACTGCCGGTGCCGAAGTAGGTGGAAGGGGAACCATCTGGAGCGGCACTGCCTGCACTGCAGTAGCCCTCGCCGTCGCCGACGGACAGTCACTGGAGAAGTGGCCCTCCTTGCCACACTGAAAGCAAATCAACTGACCGGTAGAACACGGCCCAAAATGAGTCTTCCCGCATCCCGAGCACCTGGGAGCAGGAGGTCTCGCTGCACTTCCTTGAGCAGAAGTCCTCTTGAACTGATTCGGCGCTTGCTGAGCTGCCATCTGTTTTCCTTTACCCTTGTTCCCAAACTTTCTGTCTCTCCAAGAAGTGGAACTACCAGCTACAACCTTCGTCGCCTCTGCAACCTTGGCCTTACTCGTGCTGTAGAAATCCTTAATATCACGACACTGCTGAACCAGTGTCCCAAAGTCTCTAGAAGCAGAACTAGAAAGGTAAGCAGCAATATCCTCACTAAGTCCCCTGCGGAAGTTAGCAACCAAGAATGTAGGAGTAGGCCTCGCCATCCTGAAGTGTGCAAACTTCACCAACTGGTTGAACTTGGCCAGGTACTTGTCCACAGACAACGAGCCCTGAACCAATCTGTCAAACTTTCCCTGCTGCCTCTCTTGAGCGTCATATGGAAAATACTGACCCAAGAAGAAATCCTCGAACAAAGGCCACGTCATCCGATGGCCCTGCATCTCGTAAATGTGAGAAGTGTTCGTCCACCACTCGTGGGCATCGCCCTCCAGCATGTAAGTAGCGAACATCAGCTTCTGCGGATCTGTGCACTGCATGACCCGAAATATCTTGTCCAACGCCTGTAGCCAACGCGCCGCAGCAACAGGATCAAAGGATCCATCGAAGGCAGGTGGCTTATGCTTACGAAAAAGCATTCAGCCGGCGATCGATCTCATCTCGATCCTCAACAAAAATAGGGACGGCCTGCATGGCCCCCGTAAGGTGACTGCCATCACCCATCTGACTCTGAGAGTCATCCTGCAGATTGGGTGGAGGTGGTGGTGGTGGCGGCGGTGGAGGTGGTGGCGGAGGAACATGGCCAACAGCAGGACCATTTCTCATCTCCTCAAACATGACTCTAAACATCGTCATGTTCGCCAGACGGTTGGCCTCCAACACGTCCTCAGTGGCCTTCCTGTTCGCCTCTCTGACGGCGTCCAACATAGCCTGGTTTGCCATTCTCATGGCCTCCTGGTCGGCTTGTCGGGCCGCCTGCATCTCAGCCAATGCAGCCAGGACAGGATCGGGCTGATCCTCCGAAGTCTCGCGGGTTCTCCCGGGTCTTACCATGACTCTGCACAAGTTACACAAATTATGAGTTGATCAGGGCCACACAATGTGATCACATATGCATTATCATAATAATACTCGACGGAGCAAACACACAAAACAGACACAACCAAACATCTTAATCATTGCAATACATACAGGCTTTTCCCTTGAACCGTTGCTCTGATACCATAAAATGTAACATCCCGTATATATGCGGTAGTGTTATCATTACATCGTATTAAGCTACGCTTAATTAAAAATGCGGAATATTCTTTTTCTTTTCAATTATGACGTCATTATCAATTACCAACTTGATTACTTAATCAATTTCATAAAATATCGCCTGAATGTAAATTGCAATAAGACATCTACTGAAATACCTCAGTATAACATATAAAGTGAGTATCTAAGTCACGACATTACATCACGTAATCCGGAAAATATCCTGATACATTAATACAACTCTAATAAAAGCAAGACATAACAAGTCTACGTGGCATGGACAATCCCCATGCTCACCAAATCAATAGCGTCTCAACAAGATAATCCAAAATCATAACATGAAGCAAAAGCATAAAAACAACAAGCATATCCAGCATCCAACATGTCAGCATATAATGTCATCATTATCTAACTCAGCTCCGGCCTCGTGCCGCCTGAGGTCTCAACATTACCTGACCACACAGGGTGTGCGAAAATGGAAGACAAGCAAGGCTCTTCCTCACCAAAGGTGGCTCCTTGGATCTCAAAAATGCAGCACAAGGTTCACTCACTCCACCAACCCAAAGTCAGCCCCCAACACTCCCTCAAGCTGACCTCCTTACTCAGAAACAGCACCACAAACCCCTTCCCAAAGGTGACTCTCCCTCACACAAGTGTTTAAGAGAAGCTTTCAAGGAAGAGAAAGCCTCAAAGCTCAAGAAATGGAGAAGAAAGGGATGAAACAGTGACACAATCAGACCAGCCACCAAAACCCACGAAGAAGAGGCAGTTTTCTAGGGCATTGTGCCCTTAGTAAGTGTATATATAGCCACTTAACAATTGAACACACAGTATTAACTTTAATTGCTACGCTTAGAATTTTAATCCCAAAATTTGAATTCTTAACCTACTCAATTTTACAAGAATTATCATATTTTTATTATATTTTTCGGAGCACCTTTCCGGTACGCGCTTTTCAGAGCCATTAACAGTTTCTGGCACCAGTTCTCATTATTTGGACTTGAAACTCGTTTTACAAGTCCTATATATTATTCTAGTAATTATCATGCACTTATTATAATTTTCCGGGATACTTTTTAGGTACGCATTTATACCGACTAGCAGAACCGGTATCTGCACTTTTCTTTCGAAAAACGACTTTCAGCATTCTTAATCACTTATCATGATTATTAAAGCCTCTTAATAATTATTAGGGTTAATTATGGAATCATTTCCTATTTTCTCATAATTAATCAGTTAAATCCCTTATTTAACGGTGCGAGTTCTTACACATATCAAATCCCAGTATACCATGAACCGGTGGAGCCTCAAATCCCGCAACTTAATGACATGGGCTCCGCACAATTAGCAGAACATCGTGAAGGTATTTTAGTGAATAACTCGTATGTGATTTAAGGTGTTTAAATAATTTATTAACAAGTTTTAATTCAGATATGCAGGTGATGATGCTGTTATTCCTTTTTGGAAAGGAATTCCACATTACACACATATTGATTGGAGTTATCGGAGCGAACAAGAATCATGTACTAATGGTTCAGTTTCGGGATCGAGATCAATACAGGGTCCATGGCAATTGGTAGACAAGTTATTTGTAAACCAGGAATTTGCAACCAAAAAGGAGGTTCAAATGGCACTGAAGATCAACCTCATGAGGGAGCATCAAGATGCAATTGTAATTGAGAGCACGCCTAAAAAGTTAAGCATGAAATGTTGTGCGCATGATAAGAGTTGCCCGTGGTGCGTTAGGGCAATAAAACTAGTGTTTGGTGAAAATTGGAAGGTTACCAGATGGGGTGGGGATTACAATTGTTTGAATGACCACATTTTTCAGGGTCATAGACAGCTTGATGCTGACGTCATTACGGAGCTCATCCTAGGTACATTTTTACTTATTGTGCGATGAAAAATCATGTTACTGCTATTTATGTTAGTCTTAATGTGTATGTCACGACTTTTTGGGGTATTTGAAAAATCATGTTACTTTTTTGACAGAGCTTCGGTAACCAATTTTCCATGGAATGTAGAGAGCACCAGCATACTAATGAGAAGTTAGAGAGAGATTAAAATGATAAAAATGAAAAATTTGGGATATTTATAGATTGCATGGATCACACCTGTTTTGGGCATCACATGTCGCGCTTGATTTGGGCATGACCCACCAGGGGAATAAATCTTTGGTGCTACTGTAGCACCAAGATTCAGTACATCCCACTAATAGGAGCATTACATATCAGAGGAGAGAGAAAAAATTTGGCAGAAAATTTTTTTTTTTGCTGACATGTAATATTTTTATTGATGGGATGTACTGAAACTTTGGTGCTACAGTAGCACCAAAGATTTATTCCCACCAGAGAGTGACGTCTGGTTTGGACGTGACATGCGACACCTAATTAGGGCTTGATATTGTGCAATAATTTTGTAACTATTTTTAAAACAACAATTAATTTATAATTTTTTATTTAAAATATAATAAATTAATTTTTTTTCCCGATATAAAAGTGTGCGAAAATCAAGATAAAAATAACAATAATCAAACAATAAAATTACGCGAATACGTGTAGACATCATTCATACATGACATTGAAACTTTCAGCCGGTCCACTATCTGCGTTCTAGAACGTTTGAAAAACCAAATTTAGAATTTTTTTTTTTTTTTTAAAAAGAACAATATGAGATAGCCGGTTGAATTGAATTTCAGAGCGTGTGATTTGCATTTGTATTTGTTTGACTGGTCTTTTTGTTTCTCACATTGAACCATTCTCTCTCTCTTCCCTCTCCTTTCCCTCTTCTTCTTTTTCTTTGTAAAGAGAGGAAGAGGGAGAGAGGAAGGTCACCGGCCGCCCCCGTCAAACGAAACCTCCTTCCTCCTTCCTTTCTTTAATAAAATTCAATTCTCAGAGCCACCTGTCCAACCGGTAACCCCTCTCCCCCTCCTCACCAATTAAAATCACTCTTCTCTTCTCTTTCTTTCTCAATTTTCATTTTTTGATTTTTTTCTTCTTCTTCTTTGTGCTCATCGTCCTCAAATCTCTTCTGGGTATTCCAAGGTTTTTGGAAAAAGGTTGTGTTTTATAAGGGAATAATTGAATCGGTTCTTCCGTTATGGCAACGTCGAGCGCAGGAGGTGCTGGATCTAACGATTCCACAGCTACCAGAAGACAAACCAAACGACCCAAGTGTAATATTTTTTATTTTATATTAATTTTTTATTGTGGGATTTTAAGCTGAATTTGTGAATACCAATGTTTTGTTTTTCGTGATTGTTTGTGTTTGTAATGTGAATTTTGTTTTTATTATGTGCATGTTGGTTGGAAAGGGTTAATGAAACTGTTGATGTTCATTTCTGAAAGGGATGATGAACTTTTCTTTTATTACCCTTTTTGAAACTCAATTTCATGAATATATAAGGCTTTTTAAAGCTAACATTAACCCCCCCTCTCTCCTCCTTTTTTTTTAGTATTTGAGTTTATGTAATAAAACATTCTTGACATGGAAATTTATTTTTGAGCTAATTGAGGAAATTTTTTATGTTAGACAGTATGTTTTGATTTAACAACAATTGTATTTGTGTCCTTTGTTGTTTCTACTTGCACAAAACTTTGCTGACTAGAGTTCTCTTTGAAAATTTTTATGCCTTTCAGACTCAAAGTTTACACAACAAGAACTTCCAGCATGCAAGCCTATTCTCACACCTCGAGCGGTAAATTTCCCTATTTATATATGTTGTCGGTGGTTATCTATTTAACTTGCATGCATTTAGCAGTCACTATTTACACGGTATATTACTTTCCCTGCAGGTTATTTCAGCATTCATGCTTGTCACCATCGTATTCATTCCTATTGGAGTTGCTTCGTTAATTGCCTCACACGATGTATGCTTGATTGAAATACTGTTCTGAATTTTTTCTTTGTAGCTCTGTATAATATGTATAATGCTGAGTTCTCACTGCTGACTTTGATTTATTTATTATATATCTATCAGGTTGTTGAAATTGTTGATAGGTACGAGTCACAATGCATACCACAAAATGTGACAGACAAGGTAGCATACATTCAGAGTTCTGCAGATAAAACATGCAACAGGGAGCTACGAGTAAGTTTCCTTGACTTCTCTTTTTTTTTTCCTTCTTGTTTAACCGTTGTCTTTCTATTAGCTATCTTCCCATAATTGATGAATTATGGATTTCGAACTTTAATGATCGTTTCTTTTCTTAAACATTGCTCTTATGAATAGGTAGAGAAGCGTATGAAGTCTCCTATCTATGTTTACTATCAGCTCGACGACTTTTACCAGAATCATCGCCGGTATATACCCCTTTTATTTCTTCGGAATCATCCATTTCCATTATTTCTTGGTATATATCCTGTTAATTGGTGTATGGTTAAAAGTTGCACGCACTATGCACACAGTATTATTTTATATTTCCATTGATATTCTGTTCAATGTACTAAAGCTCGCCCTATGTTTCTTATCTTCATTATTTATGAAATTATACATTGATGTGCTTTAAATCATTTAACAGTTCCCTTTGTAACTATTATATCTATCAAGTAATCACATGTTGCTGACAAATTGTACGGATGGAAGTCTGGTTGTTGTAGTACATGTTATTACATCATAGTAATAGAATGATAACTTTGAAACAGTAGGCACATACAATGTGATAGCTATGTATCTGTTTGCCCTTGATTATAGTAAAGATAATTTTACATGTAAAGAAAAAAGGGAAAATTTCAAAAACCCCCATGAGTTTTCTTAATTATCACTTACCCACTCACAAATTTTTTGAATCATTTACACCCTTATTTAGATTTTTTTATCACTTACCCCCCTCACTTAAGGGGGTAAACGATAAAAAACTTTAAGTCAGGGAGGTAAATGATTCAAAATTTTGGGAAGGGGGTAAATGATTATGAGAAAAATTATAGGGGGTTTTTGAAGTTTTCCCAAGAAAAAAATGTAATGAATGAAAGCAGAAAAATAACTGGTTTGACAAATGACATGAATTTCATTTACAATTTATCTTCTTAAATGCCAAAAATATTTTAACAGATTATAATTTAAATTTTTAGAATCGTAGCTGTGATTTTGTTCTCTAACTTTTAGAACTTTACGGAATTATGTCTGAGATAACAATGAACTATTTGTATGAGATGAAGTTTTAAGAGACATTGATATGAACTTCTTTGTTTTTCATGTATTCATCTTATATTTCGTATCTTATCTTTATTTAATTTTTTTAATATTATATATTTATAGTAGTTTATGTTCTTTGACTGACTGCTTCCTTCAACAATTTTCAATCTCAAAGTTTGGTTGGTTAACAGTGGATTCTAATGCATATAGTTCTTTCTATTTAATTGGTTGGTTAACAGTGAATTATGTCTGAGATAACAATGAACTATTTGTATGAGACGAAGTTTTAAGAGACATTGATATGAACTTCTTTGTTTTTCATGTATTCATCTTATATTTAGTATCTTATCTTTATTTAATTTTTTTAATATTATATATTTATAGTAGTTTATGTTCTTTGACTGACTGCTTCCTTCAACAATTTTCAATCTCAAAGTTTGGTTGGTTAACAGTGGATTCTAATGCATATAGTTCTTTCTATTTAATTGTTTATATTCTTATAAATTTGTTGATCTTTTGTAAATTAGGTATGTTAAAAGCCGAAATGATGACCAGTTGAGGGATTCCAAAAAAGCAAACTCAACAAGCGGTTGTAAGCCTGAAGATTTTGTAAATGGAACCGCAATTTTACCTTGTGGTCTTATAGCTTGGAGCTTGTTCAATGATACATACAGCTTCTCCCGCAACAACAATAATTTGACACTGAACAAGAAAGGCATCGCATGGAAGAGTGACAGGGAGCACAAATTTGGAAAAGATGTTTTCCCTAAAAATTTCCAGAGTGGTTCTATTATAGGTGGTGGACATCTCGATGAAAAAATACCAGTAAGTCTTCCTAGAACTTCAATTTTAATTGAATTAAGCATCTATATGTATAATTCTCTTCATTCATAAGGTTCAGCACAGTAAATTGAGGTTGTTTTGATATATGCATCAGTCTAAATTTATCCATTGTTTAAATATGAATATAGTTGTGCTTGCATCTTTTGGTTTATTATTATTTATTAATTATTAATGTTCTTGTTATTACTTCATTACTTTAGGCAGTTTAATGATTGGTATTCATACTATGCGCATTGATTTTGCATTCTTTTGATTTTTTTAACTAAAAATTGAGCTCTAAATCACTTCTTGATTTTAAAAACATACAGTATCATCATAATATACCAAAGTATGAATCAATAGAATTATCTCATTGCATAATTCATAATTCTATTTGAGCTGCATATAACTGGCTGAAATAACTCAGTTAAATCCAAAGAAGCCACTTGGGAAGTTTTTGAAGGACAAATAATATATTATTTTTTAAATATCAGAGTGTAATAATATATGATTGAATGGCCAAATCAAGACCTTGCCCAAATAGAATTCCTAGTTTAGTCTATATTGAATTATAGTTATAGAGATTAATCGGGCAAGTCATTTTCACAGGACTAATGTCCTTGTCCAAATTTAATTTAGTTGTTGAATTTGTACTTATGCTCTGAGTAGAGGAGAATGGGAGAGGTACTGTAACTCTAGGCACCAAACTTCAGGTGCTCAATGCAACAAACCCAATTGTGATAATTTGAAGTGCTGAGGGAAATTATGTCTATAGAAATGCACTTTAGACTATACGCTGCACCAATGACTCTTGGATCAGTTGCTAGCTACTTCTCCTGTACTCCCCCAGTGGTAAACGTTTTGACTGAAGTCAGTTATTATAACTTATCTTTTCTTGTAAAAATTAGTAGTTTGGGACTTTGGGTCATACTCAATGTATTGAGTGTGGTCCAGATTATCCAGCACATGTATGTTAGTAATTCTTGTGAGCTGTTGTCAATTCTCTTTTAACATGTTTCGGGCTATATGTCAGCTTACAACTTTGGAGAGAATGCTTTACTCCATCTTTTGAGACCTTTGATGATCCCATTTCATTGCTTCATGAATTTGAATAAACGGCTTTGAATGATGAATCAGCTTGTGAACCAAAAAAGCATCTTGCATTATGCATTGAAATGGCAGTACTGTGTAATGATTTAATGTTCATTCTAAAAGCCCTTGACATACTTGGTGTGAGTGGTCCATTCTGCACAATGCAACTCAGTCATTCATGTTACCTTTGCTGAGGCCAATCTTGAAATACATCAATCATATGGAAACCATTAATTTTTATACATTTGTGTTCCTCATCACTTTTCTATGATTACCCGTATATTTCATTGTTCATCTTGTGATTTTTTGGGCATTCTCGATTTGCTTGCATCAATGAGATAAGTTGCTCACTTTCTGAATGTTTTATGGAACAGTTGAGTGAGCAGGAGGATCTTATTGTCTGGATGCGAACTGCTGCTTTGCCAACTTTTAGGAAGTTGTATGGTAAGATTGAGGTGGATCTGGAGAAAGGTGATGTCATACATGTGACATTGAAGAATAACTACAACACATATAGTTTTAATGGCAAGAAGAAGCTTGTACTGTCAACTACTAGCTGGCTCGGTGGGAAGAATGACTTCCTTGGCATTGCTTATCTCACTGTTGGGGGTTTGAGCTTCTTTTTATCTATGGCTTTTACCACTGTATATTTTGTCAAGCCAAGGTAAGAAATCCCCTACTGCTTGATTGGTTTCTTTTATATGTGTTTGACCAGAAATGGTGTTGAATGCACTCACTCTTTCCACACATTATCATAAGGAACTTAAGTTCTCCCGTTCACTTCTTACTAACAACATTGTATTCACTAGCACACCATTAGTCAATTTGATTAGAACCTACATATTGCTTGAGTTAATTGTGTGCCAAATGTATTGCGAATTCATTGTGTATTTATGAAATACTTTCTAATATAAGTTTTCGTCCCTGACATATGAAGATGGAATAAAGAAAAAACAAAAAATTATCTCCTACCAGGACTGGTAAGAGTAGGGAAAAAAGAAAAACACCTATCCATTAGTGCTTATTTTAGTTAGAGATTAGTAATGCAATTCTTTTACTAGAACTCGTATATAAATAAATAGCAAAAGTTGTTTAAAATGACATGAGGTTGACATAGATTTTGTTGTACATGATCTATTTTTTGTCCTTTCACTCCAATTGTATCCGCTGTTGATTCAATATTTATATCAGTAGCAGCCATGCACAATGGCGATTTTGAATATTGTTAGCTCCTAATCTATCGTTCTCTTTTTTTTAGGCAACTTGGAGATCCCTCGTATTTGTCATGGAATAGGAACCAAGGAGGGCACTGATCAGTGAATCTAATTGTGCTTTCTTTTGTCTTCAAAGATTGCAAGGCTTGATTATTGTACACAATACAGTGGCGGATGTAATTTTGTACATCAATGATATTAATACATACAAAAAAAAAAAAAAAAAAACAGTTCAGACATTAGGTGTTATTCCTTTTAAAAAGATTATTTTTTCTTGGGTCTTGTGCATTAGATTTGGAATATCTTGTATTTTCTGACAAATAGTGTCCAATATGAATTAGTTACATTTCATACGAATCGGGAAACACAGGAGAGTTCCTGTTTGGTATACCTTTGACCTTCATCTGAGTCAAAATTGATACTTCATGTAACACTCTATTCATGATCGGTTTGTTATCATTATATATGACATTAAATGCAATTACAATCATAATAGTTAAATTAAAATATGGCTAAATATTTTCATTTTTAATTAACATTTGTTGTTTATGATTAAAACTCTTTATATTTAAAATAATTCAAATCTATAATTATAACTCATACATTGCGTAGAATATTCATACTTTACTTGAATATATTATACATCATAATCATACAATTGCCGTAAACATGCATGGTCTAATTCTCATATTTTTTCATCTTAATGTGCTCGCTGGACTTCTTGCTTGAGCGAGCAGGAGTCAACAAGTAATTAAAACTTAGACATCTATGTCTTCTCACTAAGCTCCTTGCTTCAGTGAGCTAGCTGGCAAGCAGAGCGTATTTTCTTGCTGCCTTGCTTGCTGAAGGGAGCACGTTAGCAAGCAAATGTGAAATATGGGTAGTTGCTACTGCCATCCCCTGATTCTCCTCGTTAGGTTGCTCACTTCAGCGAGCAACTTCTTTAATTTGACAGTGGCTTAACTAGGGTTTCTTCTAACCCAATCAATTGCTCGCTTGAGCTAGTGTAACAGCCGGTTGTACACTGGTATTGTTAACATTGATTATGATATTAAGTGTAGTTACAATTTAAAAATGCAAGTAAACTTTTTCCTTTGCATTACGTAAGCGTTTAAAAATAATAATAAAATGTAATGACATCAGTTGTGATCATAACTGAATTCTAAACGAGGAAACAAATAAAATAAAAGCTTAACTGTCATACATTACTTATTCTAAGTTACTAAGGGCCTGTTTGGTGTGATGTATATGGCCTAATAGTATAAGCTTATACTATACGTTATGACATTTTCAGTTGTTTGGTGTATCCATCGTATAGTATAAGCTTATACAGCAGGACTCCTTTATACATCAAAATGATCTATAACTTAATCCGGCCTAGGAGTGGTGGATTACGCCTGATAAGGGGTTGATGTATTAATATTGCTTACAAGTACAATTCCCAAGAACTAACATATCATTTCAATATTTAAAATATTAGAGGATATTATCTTATACAATATCATACCAAACGCTGGATAGTATTAAAATTTAATCAGGTCTTATACAATTAGGTCTTATACAATCAGGTCTTATACTATTAGGTCTTATACTATCAAGTCTTATCCTATACTATGCACCAAACATGCCTAAGGGGTTCCCATAAACCCACTTAACATAAATCTCACTTTTACAGTTTTCCTTTAACTGAACATGCTTTTGTTTTTTGGTCACTGTGTGCAAGCCACAAGCTATAACACTCTCATCTTTTAGTATATTAATCTAGACTCAATTATCTTTTCAACAAGGTATCACACGCCTCATTTGGAGTTCTCTAGCTCCGGTTATCATTGTTTGAAGTTGGACATGCAAAACTGCCAGCCAACCCAAAATAGGGCACCAAACATCCCTCACCATTTCCGTGATTCTGGACAAACCACTCAACCAATTTCTCTCAAATTTTTATAAATAATACTAGACACCTTGAGATTTAATTTTATATTTCATGAGCCTAATTTGAGTAATAATTGAAGGAGAAACAATTCCTGGAAAGTGCAGACCCGACAGCCCCTTGCACAAGGATTCTAAGGGAAGTCCTCACTCAATCGAACCTACAGGTGGCTACACAACTTCAAATGGCACCAAATTTTGATACAACATATCTGACATCTCAAGCTTCAAAATAATGTATGGCATGTCCCTATTGGACCTCTATGGAGGGAAATATGCTCACCCAAAGTCAGTCTAAAAACTGCTCATTTATTATAAATTTTGACGGCATCTCCTTTGTTTATTTAACATATCCCACTTTATCAAAAGTGTGTTTTAAACCTCAAATGATAACCTAATTAACAACGGTGGCACACAATAATCAACAATGTCTTGGTGCTCTTACAACCCATACAATTTACATCATTTTTATTAACTTTACAATCCATTACTTCATTGAAACTTAAACTCATTACAATCACATAATTCCATTTCATGCATTCTACAATTGACATATAAAACCATAGCCTAAAATAGGCCTATTGCCCTTCCATCACATACATGCTTCATTAATTACACAAAGTCTATAAAGCATTAAATTACAATTCTCTAACTATCAAATATAACTAAAATAAGTACATCAATGCCAATAATTACAACATCTTAGACTTAGCCAAATAAGACTACATGAAAAACAAAAGCATGAAATACATAACTCATGCAACACAATGTTCATGCACTAAGTCTAGCATATGCCCAATATGGCTCAAAATGCAAAATAGCACTACACTCCATGAACTCTAAGTACTCATCCCGTGGGCCTCTTGCCTAGTGCTCCAATACCGCTACAATCACCTGCAACATAGCTCCATAACGCGAGGTGAGATATACGAATATATCTCAGTAATCCAAAGGTTCTGGAGGATCACTCCGTCCAATGGCTCACTCAGATGTAACATACAATAATGAATTATAACAACATAGGGATATAGCAAGGGATTTAGAGATATAGGGATATAACAGAGAGAAGGATATAGAAGGGGATTTAGAGAGATAGAGATATAAGGATATAACAGAGAAAGACAGCAACGTCCGGCCTATTGGCCTCAGCATATAGCCTACGGGTTTCAAACCAAGGAGTGTTCCCAGAACATCAACCAAGGCACCCTCCCATATACACCTGAGACTTCCTAGTGTGCTCCTTTTTGGATGACACACCACGACCCCAGGTCAACTGAAACTCCCTCAAGGAGACCTATCCAGTGGAAGTCCGTAACGCCCGAAGGCAAACTGTCTACTGGCCAGAGACTCGGTATATCCTATGTACCATTATACATACAATATGCATGAGCATGTTATACTACATTATCCACATACACCTCCAACCACTACCCTCAACGGGCATGGTGGAGCACACACGGGGATCAAACCCCAGTACCAAGGGATTACCTGAATAATCTCCTTCGCTTGATAGCTCCCAATTACAGTATCCACAAGCTTGATTCCACCAGAAATGACAAAATCCCTTTGGTCCAGGACCAAAGGCAACCCACCAAGCTCAGGGTTCCGAGTTCAAATCAGTGGGAGGCAACCTACAATGATCACACAAGGATCATCAATACAAGGTGAAATCCACCACGATTACAAAACATCAAAAATCCTCCCCTACACATGGTAGGTTCGGCCATTTTAGGCTTAAATCCCAAAATATTTTTCTAAATTTTCTTTTAATTTTTCTTTAGCATCTTAAGGCTACCACAACACCATTTTAGGTCCCACTTTCCATCCTACACCATCACAACCTCATTTTTCCAATTATTTCTTCTAGGTCCAAAAGCACTTCACATACACTTCAATTATTTTTCCTTTAATTTTCCATTCATCCACTCATCACACAACACCTCTAAATACCATTTAACAACACAACACATCAATTACATGATTTTACAACATCACACTCCAATTTCTCCAAGATGGCCGAATTCTATCATGCTCCCCAACCAAGGTTATCCAATCCAATTCAACAATCTCACACATCATACAATCCTACTTTTAACTCATACAAACACTCAACAACTCAATTACATAATCCTACAACCAATCAAAATCACAAGTCATGGAATCACAACCCAAAAATTTACTAAATTATCATCCAAATTTCTCAATAATTTTTATGACATTTATCACTCTAAAACATCATTTTAAGCCACAATTGTCTAATACACAATTTTCATTTAAGCTCTCTAACTGCATCAATCATGCAATTTAGCTCTAGGTTTTCAAAATTTAGATTCATGAATCAAGCCATAAAATGTGTTGAAATATACTCACAAGCTTGGCCTAGTACCCCTCCAAGTGATCCCCAAGCAATGGCTTGAACACACAACTCTAAAAACTCCTCCAAATTTTGTGGCTGGTTTTTCTCTTTTTTCTCTCAAATGAGTGAGTTTCAAGGAAAACTAATCGGTGAGATGTGTCCGGATGATGATTTCCAACAACTTTGGTGACAAACTTTACTTGATTTGGGTTAGTATTGAAGGAGTTAAGGTAGAAAGAAGTTTGGAAGACAAAATGGCCATGGTGAGGAGGGTTCCACGGTTTTTGAAGAGAGAGAAGAGATGGAAGTGATGATGAATAGTATCAGCACATGTGTTTAAAGGTCACTTAAGTGGGGTGGGTCCCACCACCACCTCACGCGATTCAAACTAATTCAAATCTCCCACCTATTCCACTAAACGTCCGTAATTTCATAAACTATTTAGAAACTCTAATTTTTAACATTAACCATTGTCCTTTAATTGCCTTTGATCAGATGAATCCAGAGTTTTCCGATCGTTCAGAGAAATTGCAGTTTTAAGCTGTTATGCGCGCCGTGGGCACGCTTCCCCAAACTCACTAATTTCCATCAATTTTTATCATAAATCATATTTTCTAGTCCTATATACCATTTATAACTTATATCCAAACCTAGAGCTCAAAATTCAATTGGCACGCTTTACGGTGCAACTGTACCGCGATATTTTTACCCAATAAAACACTATTCATCAATTTTTCAGAAACTTGCCTAATCACTCAATTTTTCGTTCTGAATCAATTTCCAGGGTTATTTTTATCATTCGAGACCTCCTACTCAATTTTACCTTCCTAGGGTTACGTGTTTGGCTAATTACTGTTTTACCCTTCCTTTGTATTTTGACCTAATTTCCAGGATTTTCACTAATCCTACCCTGTAATCCATATTTAATATATTAATATTTGTTTTAGAAATGCGAGGTGTTATAAAAAGAGCATAATAATTAATATTAGGTAACTTTTCAGAAGGAAAGTGCAAACATCAGGTATTTCGCGGTATAAATGGACACCAGTGAAGTAACTCGAAAAATAGTAATAAAAATATGAATATTACTAGATACATATCTAGGTTAATGATATGAACCTCACCAAGAATAGTGAGACCCAAGACCAATTTAGTTAGGA